GGAGAGTAGATGAAAGAGTGGGAGAGGCACTGGCAAGAAAATTTGCTGAAAATAAGAAAATTTTTTTGAGATAAACAAGTTAAGAAAGCCTAGGGAATCAATGGATTTGTCAATTAAAAACAGTGTAGGGGAGTTAGTAGATGGGGAGCTGGAGGTATTGGATAGATGCTGGGAATATTTTGAGGAACTTTTAAATGTCAGTGATGAAAGGGAGGCAGTAATTTCTTGCACTGGTCAGGGAGGTATAACATCTTTTAGAAGTGAAGAAGAGCAGGATGTGAGTGTGGGGGAGGTGTGTGAGGCATTACGTAGAATAAAAGGGGGTAAAGCAGCAGGAGCTGAAGGGATCATGACAGAAATGGTAAAAGCAGGGGGGGGATATTGTGTTGGAGTGGTTGGTATTTTTGTTTAATAAATGTATGAAAGAGGGGAAGGTACCTAGGAATTGGCAGAAAGTGTGTATAGTTCTTTTATATAAAGAGAAGGGGGACAAGAGAGATTGTAAAAATTATAGGGAATAAGCGTACTGAGTATACCAGTTGAAGTGTACTGTAGGGTTATTATTGAAAGAATTAGAAGTAAGATAGTAGGATTGCAGATGAGCAGGGAGGCTTTAGAGTGGGTAGGGGATGTGTAGATCAAGTGTTTACATTAAAGCATATATATGAACAGTAGTTCGATAAAGGTAGGGAAATTTTCATTGCATTTATGGATTTAGAAAAGGCATATGATAGTGGATAGGGGAGCAATGTGGCAGATGTTACAAGTGTATGGAATAGGTAATAAGTTACTAAATGCTGTAATGAGTTTTTATGAGGCTAGTGAGGCTCAAGTTAGGGTATGTAGGAGAGAGGGAGATTACTTCCTGGTAAAAGTAGGTCTTAGACAAGGATGTGTAATGTCACCATGATTGTTTAAAATATTTATAGATGGGGTTGTGAAAGAAGAATGTTGGGGAGAGGGGTGGGATTAAATTATGGGGAATAAGTACAATATGGGAGTTGACACAGTTACTTTTTGCTGATGATACTGTGCTTACAGGAGATTCTAAAGAAAATTTGGAAAGGTTAGTGGACGAGTTTTGGAGGGTGTGTACAGGTTGAAAGTGAACATAGATAAAAGTAAGGTGATGAGGGTATCAAATGATTTAGGTAAAGAAAAATTGGATATCACATTGGAGAGAGGGAGTGTGGAAGAAGTGAATGTTTTCGGATATTTGGGAGTTGACGTGTTAGTGGATGGGTTTATGAAGGATGAGGTTAATCATAGAATTGATGAAGGAAGAAAGGCGAGTGGCGTGTTGAGGCATTTGTAGAAACAAAAAAATATTATCCATGGAGGCAAAGAAGGGAATGTATGAAAGTATAGTGGTACCAACACTCTCATGTGGGTGTGAAGCTTGGGTTGTAAATTCTGCAGCAAGGAGGTGGCTGGAGGCAGTGGAGATGTCCTGTATAAGGGCAATGTGTGGTGTAAATATTATTCAGAAAATTCTGTGTGGAAATTAGGAGGTGTGGAGTTAATAAAAGTATTAGCCAGAGGGCTGAAGAGGGGTTGTTGAGGTGGTTTGGTCATTTAGAGAATGTATCTAAGTAGAATGACTTGGAGAGTGTATAAATCTGTAGGGGAAGGAAGGCGGGGTAGGGGTCATCCTCGAAAAGGTTGGAGAAAAGGGGTGGGTGAGGGGCTTGGACTTCCAGCAAGTGTGCGTGAGCGTGTTAGATAGGAGTGAGTAGAGAAGAATGGTTTTTGGGACCTGACGAGCTGTTGGAATGCGAGCAGGGCAATATTTAGTGAAGGGATTCAGGGAAACCGGTTATTTTTATATAGCCGAGCTTGAGTACAGTGGACCCTTGGGTAACAGCATTAATCTGTTCCAGAGAGCTTGCCTTTAACCGATTTTGCCTTTAGCTGAATTAATTTTCCCCATAAGAAATAATGGAAATCCAATTAATGTTTCAGACAGCCAAAAGTATTAACAAAAAATATTTTTTTTTAAGATTAAATATAGATACAGTGGACCCCCGCATAACGATTTTAATCCGTGCAAGAGGGGTAATTGTTATGCGAAATAATCGGTATGCGAATGAATTTTCCCCATAAGAAATAATGGAAATCAAATTAATCCGTGCAAGACACCCAAAAGTATGAAAAAAAATTTTTTACCACATGAAATATACATTTTCCCACACACAAAGAGAAGGATACATGCACAATAGTAGAGTAGTACATGCACAGTATATATTGTGCATGTACTAGTCTACTAAATGAAGAATAAATGACACTTACCTTTATTGAAGATGCAGCAATGACTGATGAGACACTGTGTCCTGGGAGTGCCTTTTCCTCCTGAGTAATGTAGGTCCTGTTTGGCATTTTCTTCCAGAACAGGCCTTATCACACTGTGTATGCCACTACGATTCTTAAATCTCTCAAACCAACCTTTGCTGGCTTTAAATTCACCAATATGAGCACTAGTTCCAGGCATTTTTCCCTGTTCACCTGGGTGTTAGTCGACTTGTGTGGGTTGCATCCTGGGAGACAAGATTAAGGACCCAATGGAAATAAGTTAGACAGTCTTCGATGACACTGACTTTTTTGGGTTATCCTGGGTGGCAAATCCTCTGGGGTTAATTGTTTCTTGGTATTCTCAATAAGCCACACCAACAACGGTGCTACAGCAGCAGCAGCAGCAGACGATGCTACAGCAGCAGCAGACGATGTTACAGCAGCAGCAGACGATGCTACAGCAGCAGCAGCAGCTGACGGTGGTACAGCAGCAACAGACGATGCTACAGCAGCAGCAGACAATGTTACAGCAGCAGCAGACGATGCTACAGCAGCAGCAGCAGCTGACGGTGGTACAGCAGCAACAGACGATGCTACAGCAGCAACAGACGATGTTACAGCAGCAGCAGACGATGCTACAGCAACAGCAGCAGCTGACAGTGCAGCAGCAGCAGCAGCTGTACCACCAATAGTAGCGATGGTTGATTGGGGTTTATTATACAACCTGGCCAGCTCGGAGACACGCACTCCACTTTCATACTTATCAATGATCTTTTTCTTCATCTCTATTGTAATTTTCACCCTTATTGCTGTAGGGTTGGCACTAGAAGCTTTCTTGGGGCCCATGGTCACTTATTTTCCAGAAAAAGCACCAAAAACACTGTAATAATACGAAATACATATTCCGATTGTATGCTTGGATGTTACCGCGGAGGCTGGCTGGTAAACAATGCCACCGGCGGAACATGTGAGCGTGGCTCAGGCCGCACATTGGACGCGTCTCGGACGAAAATCGGTGAGCGGGTTTTTAAGCGGTATGTGAGGCAAAATTTTTGCGATTAAAACAAGCGGTATGCGGATTAATCGCTATGTGATGCCATCGTTATGCGGGGGTCCACTGTATACATATAGAAAACAATGCTAAATAAATATAAAGCACTAATAAAATGGTTAAATGAACATTTAACATTACACTTACCTTTATTGACTCTTGTTGGTGTATGGAAGACAAGTAGGAGGCAAGAGAAAGGCGAGTTTATTATGCTTCAATATGACACTAATATCATCTCTACGGCTTATTTATCTAGCACAATTAATCTAATATGACATAATAAACAATATTAATAATATAGAAACATATATACTCTAGAATGAATAAAATATGTCATAATGTATGTGAGGATATAGAAGTGTTTTTGTTGGGTTTATAATGGCCACTGAGAGGAGCCATACATATTAGTGGTGGAGGAGGCTTCTGCCACCACCACTATCCACAAACAATATATGTACGTAATTTATAAATAAGTAAGTTTATTCAGGTATACACAAATACAGTTATGTACATAGATTATCATACATAGCAGCATATGTGTAAAGTACCTAGGATAACCCAAAAACATCATTGTGACTTGTGTATTTCCATTAGGGTCCTTTTATATTTACACTTACCTTGGAAGAGATGTTAGTTTAATTAGTTAGTTTGATGGAGGAGATGCTGGCAGAGGTTTAGGGTGGTGGAAGATAGCAGGGCGGCATATGCTCACTGGCCCAATGCATATCCAGCAACATTAGAGAGTTACTTTCATGTCGTTTTTCTATTGCTTAACTTGCTTGCTACACTGTTAATTCTACATTTTATCGCTGGCTGGCACTATAGCCTTTATCGATACCTGCTGCTTAATATCGTACATATCATAGAATCACTGCAGAAGGTACATTCACCACTCTCTCTTCCTCCTCCATTATGGTACTTTGCTACGAGTTTTTTTTTTTAATTCCATTGCGTTTCTTTCCTTCTTTACCACAGGGCTGGCACTAGAAGCTTTCTTTGGGCCCATGGTGGCTTATTTAGTAGTTACAAGCACTAAAAACAATGGAATATTACAAAATACATTGCATGTATACAAGAAATCATCCTCCCTGGCTTGTAAACAATGGCACACTGCCTTTACATGGGCTCAGGTTGCGCAGAGACGTTTGGGACGAATGCCCTTAACCGAGCTCTTGGACACTAGCTGAGCCAATATTTTTGACGCAAAAACATGCCGCTATCCAATTTTGGTGTTAGCCAATGCCGCCGTTACCCGAGGGTCCACTGTATTGGAAATGGGAAGTATAATGCCTGTATTTTAAAGGAGGAGGGGGTTTGGGATATTGCAGTTTGGAGAGATATGTTATATGTATATCTTTATATATGCTTCTAAACTTATATCTGGGTGTGTCTGCAAAGACAGTGATTATGTATGAGTGAGGTGAAAGTGCTGAATAATGAAAGTATTTTCTTTTTGGGGATTTTCTTTCTTTCTGGGTCACCCTGCCTCGATGGGAGACGGCCTACTTGTTGAAAAAAAAAAAAAAGTCTTCGTCCTGATATCTACTACTATAGATTAATCAGGGCTGAAGGATCGAACTTCTCATTGATCTTTATTGGTGGAAAAGCAAACTTTTATTAAAGGTATTATAATTAATTCACAACATTTTTCCTTTTACAGGTATTGAGTGTAGACCTCCCATCTGTGGACCCTCTATAAAGGACATTAAAGCCTGCTGTCTGAAAAGCAAAACATTACACGTATCCATTAATTATCTAAGCAATTTCTGGTTACCTAACACATTAACATGATTGTAAATTATTATATTTGTGGATTATTATTATCATCAAAAAGAAGCGCTAAGCCACAAGGGCTATACAGCGCTGCAGGGTAGGGAAGGAAGCGAGGGTATTGGATGGCAGAAGGGAGGAGGGATGATCAGCAGGTTACAGAAAACAGCAGGGCAGGGGATAGTACGGGGGTAGAGGGTAGCAAGAGATTGAAGTAGAAAGGGCTAAAGGTATCAGAATTTGTGAAGTAAGTCGGTTGTTGTCAAAAAGTCAATGAGAGAGTCCGGATGAAAGGTGGGTCCATCAGCGAGAAGGGAAGGTAAAGAGAGAGTAGCGGAGCGAAGACGACAACAGAGGTAAATTCTGCGTGCTCGTTGATAAAGTGGGCAGTCCAACAGAATGTGGCTGACTGATAATGGAGCTTGGCAATTCTCACAGAGAGGAGCAGGACACCTCTCCATGAGATATCCATGAGTAAGACGAGTATGGCCAATGCGAAGACGGGAGAGAGTAGTCTCCCAACCTCGACACTGGTATATATTTGTGGAAAGTGCTAAATTCATTAGGGTATCATAAAGATAAATGTATATATAGTGACATTGTAAATGTATAGAATAGAGGGTAGGTTACTAAAAACAGTTTGAGTTTTATGCAGTAAGAAAAGGGGGTGGGGACTAAATCTCAGTGAAAGTAGGAATTGGACAGGGATGTCAGTGGTTGTTTATAGATGGGGCTGTGAAAGAAATAGACGCTAGTGTGTTGGAAAGGGGACGTTAGATGTGTTATAAAGTGCTGAATTATCCCAGCTGCTCTTTTCTAACATAATGGATGAATTTGGGGGGATATGTAACAGTAGGAAATCCAAAGCAAATATAGAAAAGAGCAAGGTGTGACAAAGATAAAAAAGAGTATAGACAGTGATAGATTATAGAAAAAGAGTAAGGTGACAGGGATTAAAAAAAAAAAATAGACAATGATTGATTATCAGATTGGAGTATGGAAGTGAATGTATTTATGTATTTGAGAGTGAACATGTCAGAAGATGATTCTATGAAAGATAATGAACCATGGGATAGATGAGGGAAAAAAGGTCTGGCGTGTTGCAGTAGCTGTGGGAAGAAGTTTGTTTATGGGGGCAAAAAAATGGGAAAATGTACCAGAATGTAGTAGTACCAACACTTAAATAAATGTGAGACATGAGTTTTGAATGCTGCAGCAAGATGTCATGTTTGAGAGTAATGGGTGGTGTGAATATTATGCAGGGAATTTTGAGCATAGAAATTAAATGTGAGGTGACCAAGAGTATAACTCACAAGAGCTGAGGGGTGGTTTGGGCATTTAGAAATAATGGACAGGGATAGGTTGACAAAGAGGGTAGATATATAATAAAAAGTAGGGCCAAATCTGTCAAGAATGCTATTATCATTGGATATCCAGTTTAATGTTCTGGATACTGCTTCATCCATTATCATAATCTAAAATTGTGTTAAAATTTGAGACTCTGTTTTAAAATATTACAAGATCATACTAGTTAAAATTCAAATTACTTTACTCAAGTAACCAAACTAGAATGTATCCTAGGAAAGAAAGGATGGAGGGAGGAGGTAAGATGTTTTGTGTGCAAGGGGCTTGGACATTCACTAGGCATGTGTGTGTTAGATAAGAGTGAATGGAGATGAATGGTTTTTGGGAACTGATGAGCTGTTGGAATGTGAGCAGGGTAATATTTTGTAAAGGGATTCAGGGAAATTGGTTAGCTGGACTTGAGAAGTACAAAACCTGTACTTTAAAGGGGGGTTTGGGATATTGGCTTTTTGAAGTGACATATTAACTGTCTTACCTGATCGCCTCTGTGAATTATGGTGAAAGTGGTTTATTTTCTGGGTCACCCTGCTTCGGCGGGAGATGGCCAACGTTTATAAAAATATATATGTAACATAATTTAACGAACAAAATAGAATGACTTCAAGAGTGTATAAATCTGTAGTGGAGGGAAGGTGGAGTAGGGGTCAGCCTAGGAAAGGTCTGAAGGGACAGGGTAAAGAAGGTTTTGTGTGCGAGAGGTTTGGACTGCCAGCAAGCATGTGCGAGTGTGTTAGGAGCAGATGGAGACAAATAGTTTTTAGGACTTGACCTGCTGTTGGAGTGTGAGCAAGGTAACATTTATGAAGGGATTCGAGGAAACCGGCAGGCCAGACTTGAGTCCTGGAGATGGGAAGCAGTGCCTGCACTCTGAAGGAGGGGTGTTAATGTTGCAGTTTTATAACTTCAGTGTAAGTACGCCTCTAGCAAAACAGTGATGGAATGAATGATGAAAGTTTTTCAGGCCACCCTGCCTTGGTGGGAAATGGCCAATGTGTTAAATTAATTTATGGCCCTTGACTTACTAGTGCTAAATGACCCCTGGTGTCAAAGAAGTTGGACCATCCTGCTCTATATGTTTAGTATTAGCCTAGATTAACTGTTTAAGTAGCATTATCTTGTATTTTTGCATTACTGAGCTATTTACATAATACTGTATTACTGTAATTATTGCACTGTTTTAACCATTAAACTGTCCAAACATAGATCTACGTTCACAAGTGTAGTGCTCCAAAAGTAGATCATAGTTTTTTTTACACGCTTTCAAATGTAAAAAAAAAAAAAAAATCTACTTACATACTTTCAAATGTTGAAAAAATGTAGATCTAAGAAAAGTAGATTTTTTTTTTTTTTACATTTGAAAGCGTGTAAAAAAAAACTATGATCTGCTTTTGGAGCACTACACTTGTGAACGTAGATCTATGTTTGGACAGTTTAAGGGTTAATTAGGCTCTGAATATTTTTAAAATTCACTTAATTATCTTTATGATAGTTCTATATAAAGGTATTAGTTTAATTCTGCTAAAAAATTTTTTTAACACTTGCCCTCTCCCACCAAGGTATGGTGACCCAAAAAGAAATACTTCACCATTATTCAGGATGTCTCAACTACCTCCAGTCTCCTTACCCCAACATTCATGCAGTTAGAATTTTAACTAGTATGATCTTGTGATACCTTAAAATACTGTAGTACTGTATTAGTTTGCTTCTAAAAATGTATAAAAGCATCTGTAACATCAGTAAATAACCTGGATATCCTATGGTATTCTCAACAGCTTTGATTCTGCTTTTTATAAAAAAAAATTTTTTACAGCATTGTATTTCAGTTGCTAATGTGTGTGTATAGGTTGGGTAGGAGCCATCCTTGGAAAGGTTGTTGGAGGGAGGGGGTAAAGAAGATTTTGTAGGTGAGGGGCTTGGACTTCCAGTAAGCATGTTAGTAAATGGAGACGAATGATTTTTGGAATCTGGAGTGCGAGCAGGGTAATATTTTGTGAAGGGATTCAGGGAAATCGGTTAGCCAGACTTGAGTCCTGGTGGTATGAAAGTACAGCGCTCGTGTATGAATGATGGTGAAAGTGTTGAATGATGATTTTTTTTTTTTTTGTCATCCTGCCGTGGTGGGAAATGGTCAACATGTTAAAAAAAAAATGTCAGTCTTGCCAGACATTCTGATACTACTGTTTAGATGTTCCTCTAAACTGCAAATATCCCCATCCTTCCTTCAGAGTGCAAGCACTGTACTTCCCACCTCCAGGAGTCAAGTTCAGCTAGCCAGTTTCCCCTGAATTCCTTCACATAATGTTACCTTCCTCATATTCCAACAGCTCAGTCCCAAAAACCATCTGCCCCCACGTCTGCTGAATGTCCACATCCCCCCCCCCCCCACAAATCGACAAAATCTCTTTTACCCACATCTTCCATTTCCTACGGTGACCACTATCCTGCCTTTTCTCCACTACATATTTATACGCCCTCCAAGACACATCCTATTTTGCTCCATCTTCTCTAAAAGTACCAACCACCTCAACAAATCTTCAGCCCTCTGGACATTATTTTATCTCTGATATTAGATATATTCAGTGATCTATACAATATATACATTTGTTATGTGGCAATGATTTAAAAATATATATTTATATAAGATGAATTTTATTTCTACATTTGAGTAAATTTTATAAGTTTGCTTAAACTATTCTACTACACTAAACCTTAAATTATTTTATATTCAAATCCATCCATCCTAAGGCAACTTGTATTCGGTTTTTCAGTAAATTTCTCAAACTTAACCTAAACAGTGTAGATAGATTGCAATCTTAATAAAAATTAACTAGTTGTAAAATATATCACAGCAATAAGTGAAATATTACATAGATATAATAAAGATATTCGAAGCACAAACAGGGGACCCTTGAGTGAACTACAATTAGATAAATTTTATAATCAAAATGTACATAATTAGCAGTCATAATCACTGGTTAAGGCCTATGTATTATTATAAGAAAAAGTTTCCTTTCCATTATATCTGAAGTATAGTTCTCTTGTTTTTATACATTTTTTTTAATGCTCTCCTTGTAAAGCATTAAAGTCTACAGACTTCAATGCTTTACATGGAGACATTACATGACACAAAGGGGTTGCTTAGGTGAAGCCTATTACATTTACATACAACCAATTACATAATTATATTAAAAGTACAGTACCTTAGAACTACTAAAAATTTTGGAGTAAGAAAAGTGGTATAAGCAACATTATTCCTTAAGGCATTTCTTTAATTTTTTTTTTAACACAGCCATTTCCCACCGAGGCAGGGTGACCCAAAAAGAAAGGAAAATACTTTCATCATTTAACACTTTCACCATCACTGATACATAATAAGTGTCTGCAGAGGCACTCAGATATGACAATTTAGAAGTTCCTTTAAAGTGCAGGCATTGTACTTCCAGGACTCAAGTCCGGCTAACCGGGTTCCCTGAATCCCTTCACAAAATATTACCCTGCTCACACTCCAACAGGTCCCAAAAACCATTCATCACCACTACTAACACGTTCACACATACTTGCTGGGAGTCCAAGCCCCTCGCCCACAAAACCTTTACCCCCTCCCTCCAGAGTATGACCCCTACTGATTTATACGCTCTGCGAGTCATTCTACTTTGTTCCATTCTTTCTAACTGACTAAACCACCTCAACAGCCCCTCTTAGTAACTCCACATCTCCTCCTAATTTCCACAATCTGAATTCTCTGCATAATATTTACACCACACACTGCTCTTAGACAGGACATCTCCACTGCCTCCAGCCACAGCATTTACAACCCAAGCTTCGCACCCACATAAGTGTGTTGGTACCACCATACTTTCGTACATTCACTTCTTTGCCTCCGTGTCTCCACAGATACCTCAATGCACCATTCACTTTTTTTTCCCTTCAATTCTATAGTTAACCTCATCTTTCATAAACCCATCCGCTGACACGTCAACTCCCAAAGATCTGAAAACATTAAATTCTTCCATACTCCCCCTCTCCAATGTAACATACAATTTTTCTTTATCTAAATCATTTGATACCCTCATCACCTTACTCTTATCTATGTTCACTTTCTACCTTTACACACCCTCTGAAACTCATCCACTAACCGTTCCAACTTTCCTTTAGAATCTCCCAAAAGCACAGTGTAATCAGCAAAAAGCAACTGTGTCAACTCCCACTTTGTATTTGATTCCCCCCAACCCCCTAGCATTTACTTCTCTTACAACCCCATCTATATTATTATATTATTATAAAAAAAAGTGCTAAGCCACAAACCCCATCTATAAATATATTAAACAACCATGGTGCCATTACATATCCCTGTCTAAGACCTACTTTTACCAGGAAGTAATCTCCCTCTCGCCTACACACCCTAACCTAAGCCTCACTATCATAAAAACTCTACAGCATTTAGTAGCTTACTACCTATTCCATACACTTGTAACATCTACCACATTGCTTCCCTATCCACTCTTATCATATGCCTTTTCTAAATCCATAAATGCAATGAAAACTTTCCTCCCTTCATCTTAATACTGTTCAGATAAATGCTTCAATGTAAACACTTGATCTACACATCCCCTACCCACTCTAAATCCTCCTTGCTCATCTGCAATCCTACCTCTAATTCTTTCAATAATAACCCTACTGTACATTTTACCTGGTGTGCTCAGTAAACTTATTCCCCTGTAATTTTTAGTCTCTTTTGTCCCCCTTCCCTTTATATAAAGGAACTATGCATGCTGTCTGCCAATCCCTAGGTACCTTCCCTTCTTTCATACATTTATTAAACAAAAACACCAACACTATATCCCCCATGCTTTTAGCATCTCTGTCATGATCCCATCAGTTCTAACTGCTTTACCCCTTTACATTCAATGTAATGCCTCACACACCTCCCCCACATTCACATTCTGCTCTTCATTTTTTTAATATGAAAATAAAATGTTTTTAGGAAAATCTAAATAATACACAGTACAGTGGAACCTTGACTTACGAGTTTAATCCGTTCCAGGAGCTAGCTCGTAACTCAATTTACTCGTATATCAAATTAATTTTCCTTATTTAAATTAACTGAAAAGCCATTAATTCGTTCCTGCACTCTGGAGAGACTAGAAAAAATACTTGAATATGATGCAATTATCAACTGTATGGCTTATCTATCAATCACAATTCATCTAATATGATATAATAAACAATATAATTAGCACAGAAACATGGTATATACTCTAGAATGAATAAAGTAGGCCATAATATGGTGGCAGAAGCGTCGTCATTTCTAACCCAATTTGACTATAGTATCTTCCCATGTTCTTACTGTAAGAGAAGACAGAGTATTTTTGAGGCTAACTGTAGTAGATCACTAGGACCCATGGTTAGAAAAAAGAAATTTGGCCAAATGACTAAAAAAATGCAAACAAGCATGAGAGAACTGCACCCACAGGGATGTAAACATGTTTACTGCTTACCAGTTGTGCTATCAGCTATGCCAACTAGCAGAAGCAATTTGAATTATTACATACTTATTATGCATTATTATTATTATTATTAATTTAGGGAACTGAAGCTCTGTCATTATAATAATAATAATAATTTTTTTTTTTTTATCATCACACTGGCCGATTCCCACCAAGGCAGGGTGGCCCGAAAAAGAAAAACTTTCACCATCATTCACTCCATCACTGTCTTGCCAGAAGGGTGCTTTACTCTACAGTTTTTAAACTGCAACATTAACACCCCTCCTTCAGAGTGCAGGCACTGTACTTCCCATCTCCAGGACTCAAGTCCGGCCTGCCGGTTTCCCTGAGCCCCTTCATAAATGTTGCTTAGCTCACACTCCAACAGCACGTCAAGTATTAAAAACCATTTGTCTCATTCACTCCTATCGAGGGAGACAAATGGTTTTTAATACTTGACGTGCTGTTGGAGTGTGAGCAAAGTAGTCCATGGGAAAGTGGAAAAGAATCTTTCCTCCGTAAGCCATGCGTGTCGTATGAGGCGACTAAAATGCCAGGAGCAATGGGCTAGTAACCCCTTCTCCTGTAGACATTTACTAAAAAAGAGAAGAAGAAATAATAATAATATTATTATTATTATTTTTAACCCTTAACCCTTTGAGGGTTTCAGACGTACTAGTACGGCTTACGACCCAAGGTTTTTGACATACTAGTACGCCTAAATTCTAGCGCCCTCAAATCTAGTTGGAGAAAGCTGGTAGGCCTCCATATGAAAGAATGGGTCTATGTGGTCAGTGTGCATTGTATAAAAAAAATCCTGCAGCACACAGTGCATAATGAGAAAAAAAAAAAACTGATCGTTTTTTTGGAATAAAACAGCGACTTTGCACTGTATTTTCGTATGGTATTTATTGTTGTATTCTAGTTTTCTTGGTCTCATTTTATAGAATGGAAGACATATCACAGAAATTGAGATGATTTTGACTGGTTTTGCAATGAAAAGTACCTTGAAATTGAGCTCAAAGTAGCAGAAATGTTCGATTTTTACCAAAGTTCAAAAGTAAACAAATCATGCCAAGCGTCCAATACACGTCAACTGGTGAGTCTAATATTCTTTTGTAAGTGCGCCAATATGATTCATACCATTTTTTACACTAATGCAGTAGTCTGCATAACAGTAAATCTTCTATTTTTTGTGAGAATAAAAATTCAAAGAGGAAAGCAAAAGAATGTAAGAGGGGCCATGAGATGTGACTAATGAACAGAGGAAATGTCATTTTAGTGCCAGGAATGTATTTCTTGTTTGTTCTGGACCCTATTCGGAAATTAGCATCTTTTGAAATTTGTGTGAAATTGGCAAAATTGCTAAATTCTGACCACTGTACTGGATAGTTGAAATTGGTAAATGGGTGGTTTCTTGCACTCATTCAATAGAAAAAATGGAGTTCTAGCAAAATATTAATGTTTTTTGTCGACTAGTACAGTGGAACTGGCCAAAAATGGGGCTCAAAGTGGGCAAAATCGCCGATTGTAAACATCGCCGAGACCGCTAACTTTGTGAGAGCATAATTCCGTAAGTTTTCCATCAAATTTCATATTTTTGGTGTCATTATGATCGGGAAAAGATTCTCTATCTTTTCATAAGAAAAAATATTTTTTTTTTTTAAATTTGGCCGACCCTGAGAACGAGTCTCGGAGAGGGCCTGTCGACCCTCAAAGGGTTAAATGGTCCAAATGCATATATACGTTTTTTCAACATCTGAAAGTATGTAAAAAAATGTAGATCATCTTTTTTGTTTTACATTTGAAAATGTGTAAAAAAACTTTTATCTACATTTTTTTGTTATATTTGAAAATATGTAAAAAAAAAAGTAGATCTACTTTTGTAGCACTATGAATTTAAACGTCGATCTGTTTGGACCGTTTAAGGGTTAATTTAGGGAACTGAAGCTCTATCGTTATGATAATACAATAGACCGCCATTGAAGAATTGCTGCACAATTTTATGTAACACATTGTATAATTAACATGATTCAGTTGGTGGAAAGGAAAAAAAAATTCTCTTTTGCTCAAGCGGCCCCCTTGGTATGGAGCAGCCGGGGAGCCATCCCCAACCACTCCCCGACACAACCCCACCATTCCTAATTCATACGTGTCCAGTCTTTCTCTGCTACAAGGCAGCTGTGTTTGTCAATTGTGTTATGATATTTTAATTACTATATCTTGTATCTGCCAAGCAATCATGACACCCAGTAGCCATACTAGTGTTGCTGAAAGTGGCACAAAGAGGTATAAGCATTTAAGTCTCAGAATTAACAAGGATATTAGACAAGAGATAACCTGTAGCTGTAAGTGAAGTGTTACTTTGTACACAGAAAAAGAGGTTAACATGAGTTTGTGTGACTAAGTGAATGAATGACTGACTGACTTACTGAGTGACTAGACTGAAATGCTGAATGACTTGACTGACTTAATGAATGACTTGACTGACTGCAGAGGCATCGTAAGGGGGGGGCACCCCGGGTGACACCATAGAGCCTCTAAAGGTGACACTAAAGACCAAAACCATGCTGCAGCAACCTAAGAGAAAAATTCATTTCTATATAGCCTATTATAGGATTACATAGTACAAATAGGCCTATATAGGGAAAAATCATTATTTTGATGATGTGATAGATGATTTTGCAGGATTGAGGCAAGGAAATGAAATATCAGATTCTTTGAGATGTTACCTGTACTCAAGGTCAAACTGGAACTAGTGTTTTTCTCTATTTTCCATTGTTGAAGATGAATAAATGTAGGATCTATTGGCTGTACTCAAAGTGGTGTTTGAGTTTATATTTCCTCAATATTACTACGATTATTTATTTTATCATTAATAAAGTTCGATTTATGGCTTTTAAACATTCTCATTGCTAAACATTAGTCACTGGTCATGTAGCAGTGATGTAACTGGAGTTTACTACCCCTATCCCCCCGCCCTTGGATTTCATGGGGGTGACACCAATTATTACGTGCTGGGTGACACCAACTCTAGCGACGCCTCTGACTGACTGAGTGACTTAACTGTAATAATATTATATTATTATTATTGCTGAAAAGAAAAAGAGAACGATTTCCATGGAATTAAAGCATGAAATTACAGATAAACAAGCGAGGTGTCCAGGTTTTGGGTTAAGGGGGAAGAGGGAGAGGGGACCTGGCTCGTAACTCAGCAAAAAATCGACCCAGGGACGGCTCGTATCTCAAAAAACTCATAAGCTGGGACACTCATAAGTCAAGGTTCCACTGTAAAGTGGTCCCTACAAATTACACTGGCTTCCATATTAGTTGAATTCAATTATCCATACTTATGCAAGGGGAAACAAGTGAATATTCACTACAACTATTTTCTGACTCAATGACTTTCCCATGCCCAAATCTCTATTGTGGTCATTTCTCATGAATATCAATATTAAACAGATTAGAATATACTTATGAGATACTGCCTCAAACAAATTGAACTCGAAATATGAAACAAACTTGTTATGCAGACACTTTCATATTCTTTAAGGTTTCTAGCTGTGAAAAACCTCTAGGACTGTAACTACCCATAAATTTGTTGAGAGAACTTTACTTAGGTATAAGACAGAATATCTACCATTTTCTAATTATCAGGGTGGCTTGACTTTTACTTGGTTTTCAAGTAATGGAACGAAGCTTTCATCAACTGGTCATGCTGAACTGCGACGACGGACAAGATATTTTCCATGGGCCAGTTGAGCAAGGGTGATTTTCAAGCGAATGTTATCTGGTACTTTTCTTACCATAATCTGAAAAAAAAAAATCAAGAATATATATCTACACAAAAATTATACAAATACTGCATAATCCCTCAAGATTCTTAAATTTCAGCACTCTGTGGTATTTTTTATGCCAGGAAAAATACAATATTTGTCAGTTTTTTATAACCAAGGTGGGCTGATCCAAAGAAGAGAACACATTCAATATCATTTATTCAAAAATCTCTTGAAAGAAAAGCAACAAGATAAAGTCCCATCACAGAAAAATGTAATGAACTTATATAAATAAAAAACATAATAACTTACCATATCAGCACCTGCTACTGTGAGAATAGCATTAAATCGTGTCCCATCCTTGCACTCAATCATAACTGCCTGCCCCTTATGAAACCTGTAATAAATATTTTATGCTTGAAAAAGTATATAAGAGTTAACATACAATTAGGGACTGCATTTCTACATTTCATTATACAGTATGTATTATGAAAACTTTTTTCCAGCACTCTTTTGAAGTTTGGAAAAAGCAAAATCTCTTTCACTTTAGAAACCGAAGCTTCTGGATAAGACTTGTTATTAAGGTGGCAGAAGTTGCATTCTGATTATATACAGCTGTCTATTACTATTTTCCATTCTTAAATATTTAATATTAATTTGGAATAGCCAAACTGACTAGCAGATAGAATAAGACTGAAGCCAGAAAAAAAAATTTTAGTAGTATAGGTCTTCACATACAATCTGATACATGTAAAAACATAATTACTATTTTTTTTTTTCCCCTCAAGGAAGGTTCCTTGATGTTGGTGAGGGGCTCTTGATTTAGGGAATTGGATCTGTGCTCCAGTTCCCTGAATTAAGCCTGAATGCCTTCCACATCCCCCCCCCAGGCGCTGTATAATCCTCCGGGTTTAGCGCTTTCCCCTTGATTATTATAATAATAATAATAATATTTTTTTTTTTTGCTTCAACAACAAAAATTAAATGCTAAATTTTAAATATTCCAACAAATCTGTTAGGTCCTTAACATTGTACATGGTGGAGGTAACTGATGTTCCTGAGAGCCATGCTGTCTTTCTGTAATTATAGAAACCTTGATATGGACTAGGATGATGTGATGGTGAGAGATGCCTTGGGCAAAGTGGATGCAGCTGTACTGTCTCTGGACTAGTTATCAAAGATTCATGATGAGGTGTTTATGGCTGTGACTAGTAAGGTCTGTCCTTTGATCACTAAAAGCATCTTGATTCATGACTTTGCCCCCTTGGTATGATTCTTCCATTACCTAGCTATGGAGGTCTCATACAAGTGTGGAGCTTCAGTGATGTAGATTGCCAGGAAAAGCAAAAGCACAAATGACACAATTGTAAAAATGCTAGACCTGCTTTACACAGCACTTGAAAAATATGAATATCTATTAGAACTCTTATCAACCCAAGGAAAGCTTTTGATACAGATCACAGTATCCTACTCCACAAACTTGATCATTATGGTGTAAGAGGCCACGCACTTACATATTTCAAATCACTGTTTTGGCCGTATATATACATCTTATGAGCCAATGTTTTTGACGTATTAATATGTGTAAATTTTAGCGGCTTCAAATAAAGCAGGAGAAAGCTGGTAGGCCTACATGTGAAAGAATGGGTGTGCACACAATGAAAAAATTCGGGGACTCAGTGGTGCATTGTGGGAACACCATTTTGTAGTCCTTGTTCACCATGCCTCACCACTGCCTTACTCCCCAGCAAATTGGAGGTCTTTTGTTCCCAAGTGATAGCTCTAACACCGATGGAAGTGCCAGTGAAAGTGAATTTCATGGTTTTGTGGAGGGTGTGACCAAAAGCAGTGCCCAGGATAATGTAATTAGTGATGAAAACCCAGATGACCCACAACCTTCCACCTCTGGTGTTGGGCCATCTCATTCACATTCACCTGTACTATTTCCCCGTGTACAGGACTTAGATGTGAGCAGTAAAAGTGATAATGATTTCCAAGCTACTGAAAGCAGTTCAAGGTGCAACAGTGAGGGGAAATATTCTCCAGTGAATTGGCAGTATGTACAATGCAGCATGTGTTCTGGGAGTGAGCCGCCATATGCCATTCCAAGGGGAAGTAGTAAATCTCGGAGGACATCCTCTGACCCTACACCACAGACTGATAGTGAAGATGACGATGTTGTTACAATGGGGATGGATAAAGCGCATGGGGCAGCAGGTGGTGGTGGTCATGGCGGCATGAGTCATGTGGCACCAGGAGTGGGCCACACTGCTAACTTAGCACAGCCTGAACAAAGTCCACCCTCAACCACCCCCACAACCTGCACAACCACAACCACCTGTCAATATCCAGTACCCACCAGCAGACCACATCTGGGATTGACAGAAAGGTGCCAATTTTGTTCCCAATCCCCATCACTTTGATGAAACACAAAGTGGAATATGGCCATCGTGTACACTTGGGAACAATGCCACTGAATTGGAATGCTTTCAGCTATTCTTCGATGAGCCCCTGATGGACAAAGTAACACATACTTTGAATACATCATGGCAAACACAATTCTTTCACCAAGATCATGGCCACACAAGTGGAAGGACACAACTGTGGCAGAGATGTATCTGTTCTTTGCCACAATAATGCTATGCCACATGTGTATAAGCACACTGTCACTACATACTGATCGACTGAATGCCTGATTTCAACCCCAGGTTTTAGTGATATTATACCAGTGAATAGATTCTTCTGCTACTGTTACGTATGCTACACTACTCAGACAAAACAATGCCTGACAGAAACGACAGGTTATATAAGATCAGGAATATGTTCTGTACCTGAAACATTTGCTGTATGCATTTTTATCCCTTCAGAAAGCTTGTTATTGATGAGTCTGATTATGTTCAAAGGCAGACTATCGTTCAAGCAGTATATACCAAGTGTGATTGCAAAAGTGGTCTGGTTTTGGATATCATTGTGTACCTTGGCAGTAATACATTGAGAGATACCAGGAAGTTATTGGGTATCTCTGGTGATGTGATTAGAACAATGATGGAACCATATCTTCGTAAAGGGCATATATTATATACTACTGATAACTGGTGATTTCTTGCGAGTGAACATGACAAATGTGTGTGGCACAGTGCGTGGAAATCGTAAGCATATGCCTAGGTTCCACCCAGGCACTTGTAGAAGTGAGGTTCAGGAGTTTGCTGCCAATGACATCATGGCATTTCAGTGGCATGACAAATGTGATGTCACATTGTTGACATCAGTTTACCGAAATGAAATGGCAGACAGTGGCAGGCAGAATAGAGACACCAATGAACCCATTCTCTGTAATAACCCATAATCTGTAATATCTGCCTGTGTCATCATTTGTGATTGTCTCAGACTCCCTTAGTGCTTTACAGGCTATACAGAAATTTGATACACCTCACCCCTTAGTCCTCCATATCCAACTTCGGGTATGCCGCATCTCTTCCAAGCATAAAGATATTGTTTTTTGTTGGGTCCCTGGTCATGTTGACGTACAGGGCAATGAACAGGCAGACACTGCTGCGCGGTCAGCAGTATATGACCTACCAGTTTCATATAGAGGTGTTCCATTTATGGACTATTTTGCTGCAATAGCTACCCATCTTCACACCCGTTGGCAACAACGTTGGTCTACTCTGCTCAGTAACAAACTTCAATCTATTAAACCGAGTATAGGTTATTGGCTGTCTTCTTGTCACCAGTGTCGAGGTTGGGAGACTGCTCTCTCCCGTCTTCGCATTGGCCATACTCGTCTTACTCATGGTTATCTCATGGAGAGGCGCCCTGCTCCTCTCTGTGAGAATTGTCAGGTTCCATTATCGGTTAGCCACATTCTGTTAGACTGTCCACTTTATCAACGAGCACGCAGAATATACCTCCAACGTCGTCTTTCGCTCCGCTTCTCTCTCTTTACCTTCCCTTCTCGCTGATGGACCCACCTTTCATCCGGATTCTCTCATTGACTTTTTGACAACGACTGACTTACTTCACAAACTCTGATGATACCTTCAGCCCTTTCTGCCTCAATCTCTTGCTGCCCTCTACCCCCGCACTATCTCCTGCCCCGCTGTTCTCTGTAACCTACTGATCATCCCTCCCCCCTTCTGCCGCCCAATACCCTCGCTTCCTTCCCTACCCCGCAGCGCTGTATAGCCCTTGTGGCTTAGCGCTTCTTTTTGATTATAATAATAATTAGAATTAATCTAAAGTCTGCCTGAAATGCCTAGCCATGCTAGGTGTCCTAGTGGCCCCCTCTGTAATTAGTATTGTAAAACATGTAAACCACACAGTATCCAAAATCTGTAAACCCCGCATTGTAATCCTTATAGAGAATAAACTTGATTGATTGATTGATTCTAAAACCTGCAGCTGCGATGGACTACAACCTCAATATGCGCTTAGTGGACAAATGTGATATGCAGATTGGGTTTGCTGATTGTGGTTGCAGGAGTTATAAGTTATACATAAAATTTCCATGTTGATGCTTATAACATGTACAAGCTGAAGACCAACAACAAATCACCATATGGTAAATTTTGTTGTCAGTCATCAGACAAATAATATTCAAGTACCAAGGAACAACACCTGCAATAGTCCAGCACCCACAAAATTATCAACACATACCCTCTTGTCTGAGGCCTGGTAATCACTACCCCATACAACTGCCTCTTACTGCTTTCAAGAAGAGTGCTCAGAAGAGGTGTTTTGTCTGTGCACATACCACAAAATGCCCACAAAAATGCAGAGACACTCGTTTTATGTGTGAGGAGTGTGAAGTGCCACTATGCATATATCCATGTTTCAAAGAATTCCACAAGCTGCAGCAGTTCTAGGAAAGTGTCCAGTGACTGTACATTTGTATATATATTATAGAACAATAGTAATAAACAATTTTTTGTATTGTTTGTATAAACAAGTTTTGTAAACAATATATTGATGATAATGTTTGTGTGCTTGTGTTGCATACAAGTGTATATATGAACAGAGCACTTTACTTTGGTCTCATAGGCCACATAAGTCTCTTGGAAAAAAAAATATTGAAAAATACAAGAAACCTTCGAATGGGACTAAATATGTGTGCGCCAGGTGAGCGGCATTTGCCTCTGTTGCTATACGCGGCTCATTTTCTGCCAACTTTATGCCTCTATATCTCGGTAAGTACTGATCACAAAAATTTTTTTTTTGGCTTAAAACACTCTGCAAATTAATCCTAACATTTTGGTAAGAAAAGTTTCTTTTTTTTTTTTGAATATTTTGTGACATAGGAAGAAAGTTTCAGAATAGGGCTGCGACAGCTAAAGGGTTAAGGACACAACCTCACCAAGACCACTGGATACTGGAGTGCCACAGGGAAGTGGCCCTGAT